AAATTAGGTTTCGCAAATAATTTTTGATATAACCGCATCAAAACAGGAACGAATGTTTATTTCAAGTTATATGTTTGTATTAATTTCTTTGTAAAAGATATTCCATCTTTCTTCTATTTTTAGAGAACCATTAAGTGCCACCGTAAGCGGTGCTAAATAAAAGTTATAATAAATGAAAATTATAGTCATTTTGTCAAATTTTTATCTCGTATCGAGTAATTTTATAGTCGTTGTGTATTTCGCATTGACACGAAGGCAAATAAAGTAGCTGTATCTTCTATACGATTAATTCGCGAAAAAGATGAAATATCGAACTTTTTTTTTAAGTTATAATATAATTTACAAGAAAATAAAGCACAACCTTTCTATACCGATATATTTAACTAACGTAACTCTTGGTTAGCGTAATAAGTTGTTTCGAGGATAAAGCTACAATACAATCAAAACCGTTCGTTAGCTACTTGCATTATAATTTAATTATAAGACACAGTGCATTGTAAAGTTATTTAATTTTAATTAGCCACTATATACTTATACTATTCCGAATAAAATTATACAAATTTTTAAGATCTATATAAATTTTGCGCACGATAAAATACGTTAAATATAATTTTAGTTTAGTGCGAGTGTAATTCATCTTTATAGGATTCAACATAAAAAACTCACGACAAACTAAACTCGTTATTCTAGTATAAGTAGTTAAATATCACGAAAAGCCTTTATCTTACAATTAGTTATTCAATAGACTCTGACAATGTGAAACACAAATCTATCAAAATATGCAACGTATTATTACCAATTGAATAATCTGACCCACTAAAAATAAATTACCAAATAATAATATAAATCTTAACATTCGTTAATATTAATCGTAACATTCGGGCTTTTATACATTACAGCTTATTATTTTTCACAATTGAACTGCTGAAAAAAAGGAAACAAAAGAGATAAAATAACTGAAATATTATTTCTAATAAATATATAGCTTTACTTTTACTTTTAACATACATAACTTTTAATTACCCGTAACTATATCATATATACGAAGCATTATCGATTATTATATATTATTATCGATTAGAAACATTTATCGTGTTTACAATAATTCATGTAAACATAACTTATCCATTCCAAATTCGCACTACATAATGTAATTCTATAATTTGATTATTAGAAATAAGGAATAAAGAACAAATATATTTAATTGTTTGAACATATTGCTATGAAATAAATTACAATAACAGATCATGATTGTAATGATAACGAATAGGATATAATTACACCGGAAAGATTTTATCTCAAACTTTCTTCCTTAAATTCTTTAACTTAATCGTGATGCAACAGAAGTTCGACTTTCAGGAAATAAAAAATTAATTGTATTCAACAAATCGAATCGCAAAATACACTATAATTGTTATATAACATAGAACATAAAATAAAATAATTACAAATATTTCCAATAACTTATATGTATTAAGTACACAACCTCATAAAAGACTTTTATCAGCTTATCTCCAACACAATCTAAACAAAAAACAAAATAGCATTTCGACTAAGTATGGATCACACCAGTCACTCACAAATACGTAATCGAAAAAATTAAACAATCTATTTCTAACTACTGCGGTATCGAGCTCCTAACAATTAACTAACCATTTGCTATATGACTGCAGTAAAACTAATTCAATAAGAAATACAACGTAATACCTTCTAACGGACCAAAAATATATAAAAAAATACCTTTAAGCACCTCAAGAAAATAAGTATCTATGAAAAAATATAACACCACACTGATGTGCGTTGCTAATGATCTCGTAGTCGATGCAATGTAAAACCCATAAGGAGAAAATATATGTATTAAAATTTATTTATTTTTTCGTGTAACATTAAATGCAAAAATAATCGACTCGAATAATTTTCTGAATACGATAAATAAATGTTAATAACGTAATGCTTGAAAACTATTTAGCTTTAAATTTTTAGCTTTGAAACGAAATATATATGTGATAATATATTACTAATTACGTATTAACATCATTATACATATTAAAGAATAGTGCAAGTCCATATAGTACAACTGATTAAAAACGATAGGACTACGGAAAAATATTATATTACGATAAATCTATTTTCTCATTAAAAAACAGATGTGGAAATAAAGTAGAACATAAACACGATAAAAGAGAGGGGGAAGGCACTAGGAGACAAGAGAAAAGGATAGAGAAAAAGGGAGAGAATTTCCAAGAAGGGAAAGTTGCGCACCTCGTTACAAAACGAATATGAACCGGACAATTTTGATTTCAAAGTGCCACTACCAAATTAATTTCTTTATAAGACTAAAAAGGAATGCCAGCACCATATTTGATAAAGGCACATAGTTTTTATAACTGTCGATACTTTTATATATATATATTGCTATATGATTTTATTAAATGCGTAGGACAAAATGACAAATGAAATTTTGTAATAAAATTTCAATATTACAAAATATTCTAAAAGGCAAAATAAAAGAATATGTGAAAAACGAAACATAGGTAAAGACAATAAAAAATAATTTTAAAAAAGTTATATTAATAAATCTATGTACGTATTTCAAATTTAAACATCGTATAAATTTAGCAAAGTGAAATAAAATCTTTGCTTTGTTTTTAATATATTGACGTTAAAAACCAATATAAAAACATGAATATAGTATATTAACTTTTGATTTATGTATCATAAACTAGATTGCGTACATTAATAATTAAATTTTATAACTTTAAATCATTCTTATCATGCAGTGAAATTTAATTATTAAACTCATTTTACTGAGTTTTAGATTGTTGCTTCACTTGAATAAAACTACTAAAAAAATATAACGATACAAAAAGTAATTAACCAATAAACAAATAAGCAACGAACTATAAAAATGTGTAAATACATAAAATGAATAACAAGATAATAAAAATAAACGATATATTTATAATCAATATGCTTACAATTTTCTTATACCACTTAGTTTATACGATCACATACGTAAATTAATCTGTTTAATTTTCGTTTCGTTTCAGAAATTCTATCATTCTTTTTAATACAAACAACTAATGCCAACTCATTTCAAGTATAATTTGATATTTAAAAATTTCACATATTTCACGTGCAATTATAAAAAACTATGTAAAATGCATAATGTATAAAAAAATTAAATTTAAAATAAAAAGGCAATAATATATATCACCTTGTAAATTAACGTAATTGTTATAAAAAGAATATTTAAATGAAACTTTTATGTTTATTGAGAATTCAAAAATGAAGAATAATTCTTAACGGAAGATAGAAAAGAAAGAAGCAAAAGAACAGATGACTTACGTTTACGATACCGCACCTAAGATTCGTCAGCGAAAGATTCCACAAAATTAGAAGGTTAATACAAATAATGCACTTCACACCACGTCACTATTTATCACCATTATAAAGATAATAAAATCAAATTGTAATAATTTTACCGGCGTCATTCGTACTAATAAATTCTTTAAGATAAAAGCAAGGAAGGTAACATCGTCACTCGGTGCTGTTTGCCGCGCATCTACTACAGGTATCTGTCGCGGTAGTTCTCCCACCAATGGCGGCAACTTTGCTCTGATAGGAGCTTTGTCGACTAATCAGTAGTTAGCTTCTTAAATGTAGACAAATCATACTGTTGAAAGTTTTTGCGCCTTCACATAGATATATATATATACAGGATACGTCTCTATATAAGATTTATATTATTTTATTCCATTGTTATTCTACTATTTTATAATGTTACAGATAAAATTAATTTTATCAATTAATAAAGTATCAAAAATTCAATAAAAGTATGGTAGGTACTTTATTATGGTATACTAAGTATGATTATAACAATTCTTCTGTTTCATTATATGTTCATATTATATTTTCACCAAGTGAATTTTTACACTATAATTTCTATTTATACACATATATAAATTATATTTTTTCACAAACTTTACTGCTTGTTTTTATATTATCATATATTTATAATTCATCAATATTATATAAGCATAGAAATGATTTACACATAATGAAAAATTTTATACAAATGAGATGATTCCATTATTTTAAATATTTTTCAATTTTAAATTAAACAAATAATATTACTTTAAGTTGTAATATTAATAAAAATATTTCATTATTTGTAATAATTTAGAATGCAATAAATTTTTAAATTTGGAATAAATTTATTTATATTTATTCGTTTAATTTAAAATAGAAAATAAAGTATAATTTATTCATTTTATATTAATTTTAAATATTATAAATTAAATATAACTTTTTATGTAAACATTTGTTTGCATTTAACTAACATCAAAGAAACAAAATAAATTAATTAAATTTTGTATTGCTTTAAATATTTTAATCCATTTTTTTTTTTTATCTAAAATTTTATCTAAAAATCTAAAATACACAGAACATGTATAGATCATTGTACATTGCAAATCGGAAAATGTTCATTAAATATAACTAGTATTACATATCATACAAATGAATTATCTACATTTTTAATCTTTCTCCTCTTATTATTGAATACCTTAAATGATTTTTTATGTAAACAAGTTTCGTTACGAAAATTTCATTGTTTCGATTTATTTGTTGAGCGAACAATATATTGAAGAATTTAATTCTTAAAATTTTTCAATAAAAGTAAAAGATCTGGCAATACTTTAAAGTATTCTAAATTTACCAGTATTAAACCTCTACAATCCACTGTCATTATGTAATTTATTGATAAATTACAATATTGATCATATATATATATATATATATATATATATATATAAAAATGTACAGAATGCAAAGGGTTAATAAAAAATATACATTTATATAGGTATTTATGAAGAATAATTAAAAGAGATTTACTAAAAATTGATTTACCGAGACGAAAAACAGTGATTTAAATTTTAAACAATCTATTTCACTTCAATATAGATTCCACTAACTTCAATGTGATGCATTTTTAGTAACTAACTGTGGCACTGAGAAAAAGTAAAACTATTTTTTAAATCTTTATCAAGTTTAATTTCGCATCTGCTTATAGCATTGTTTGCACAAAGAATTGATATTTTATCATTTTGTACAGGTTTAAAACGTTTGGACGGTTGCTCTAAATCTCTTTCCAAATTATCTTCTTCCTGTACCGGAGATTTTTTGGCAAGTGGTTTATTGAAAGATTTCATAATTAAAGAATCTTTACGAAATGTAACTTCCTTTAGATCATAAATAAAATCCTTGTTTAGAGGTTTTATTTTATTACGAATAGGACGTTGGGATTTTGAACTGTCTTGCATACATGCAGTATCACTTTCTTTTAAATTAGAATCTTTAGATCGTGCTTCAACAGCTTCTATATTTTGTGATTTTGAACTAGAATTTTCTGGAAGTACAGTTTCCATTGAGTCTGCTTGTTTTGTAGAATGAACTTCAGAAGATCCAAAAATAACTTCCATCACCATTCTTCTAAGATCAGGGTCTAGTCCTAGTGTATTTTGTCCTTTAGCAGCATTATTCAAAGTCTCTTGAATTTCTCCATTCTCAATTATTACTACTGGATCTTTATCGATTACTTCTGTTTCTGTTTCATTTATTCTTTCTTCTTCAACCTGAACTTCTGGTTCCATATGTTCTGGAGAGATATTAACTTCTACGATTTCTGGAGCATCAATCTCCTCTTCTAAATTTGCCATATTTGACGTAATATTTTGATCACACGCATATTGATCATCTGGGATCTGAATTATCATTTCCTCTATAATAGGACGATTGTTTTGAGCATTGTGTATTTTATTGCAATGTGCTATACAATCACACTTAACAAAACATTTATAGTCACAGAGTTTACATTGATAACGATTCCAACCAATATGAATGGCAGCATGTCTTCTTAGATTATTCACTGAAGTGAATTTTCGTTTACATGGGAGGCACTCAAGCTTTTGAAAATTTACTATTGAAGTCACTTTTTTTTCCATTGTTAAAACATGATCCAATTTTTCAGATTCTGTAACATGTTCTGTACTTATTCCTACAGACACCTCTTTCGCAATATGTCCTAGAAATAAGAATATACTTTCATCGCATATATTATATTATTAATAAAAGTCAGAATAAAAATAATTTACTTAAAAACTTGTGAAATACACTTGTGTAAATTGTAACAGTTTAAATCTTACGAATATAAAATGTAGACTACTTGCATTTTTACCTGTATTATTATTCAGTCTCTTTGCACTATCCTTATTTTTTCGTTTTTTACTACCAACATTAGTTTTATTTTTATTTATATTAGTATACACAATCTCTACAGGTTCAAAAACATCACTTGCAGAAGAAAGATTATCCTTTTCTATATTTTCTTGTACTCCATTTGTAAGAACTTTAGTTACATTTCTATTAGACTCATTTTGTGAAACTGATTCTCCGCTTTCTAACATATCCCAGTCTGCTTTACTTAAACTAGCAACTGCTTCTACACGAATAGGTGTTTCATTACTATTATTGATTTCTGTAGAAACAGAAGAATCTTGAACATTCACATTTTTCTGAGCTTCTGGATCAGTCACACTATCATTTGAAATACAATTTAATGGAACTTTATTTATTTTTTTGATTTTAGTTGTATTTTCATATGCTGCAACACGCCTATGACAATATTGCAAATGAGAGGATAAAGCTGCTTTTCTATCAAATCTTTTTCCACAGCCCCCACATCTCTGTAATTCTGTATCAGATTCTAAGTGATCTATCCATTCCTATCAAAATTCTCTGTTTTAAATTAATGGTATTTTAATAACAATTGTAATATGTCTATAATAATTAAGATACCTGTGTTTCATTAACTCTTAATGCACTATTCATTAAAGTTTTATTGGCATCTTCCCTCTGCAAATCTTCAGCAGCAGTAGTATCCTTAATAAATGCTTTCTCTTGAATTTGTGTCCTCAGTCTCCGTACTTGTTCATTAGATTTCCTATGAACTGTATTTTACATTTAAAAATTTAATTAAAACAGTTCTAAATTAAGATGAATTTTATTCCAACAACATTTTTCTTCTAATGTAATTTCTTACATAATTGGAATTATAATTTGCTTCTTTAAGAAATTATAAATGTAATTAAATTCAATATTTATGTAATCGTTATATGATTATTATTTTATACAAATTATAGAATTTTTTACACACCTTTAAAGAGATGTCTATAAACACTCCAGGTATTGGCAAATGTACTGGAACAACAAGGGCAAGGGTAACATAACCTGTGAGATGTGTGTAATGTCCTTGTGTGAACTGTTAATGTCTTTTTTGTTGAAAATTTTGCATAACCTAAAAATTAAACAATGCTGCAATTATGATACAAGATAAACCATATAACTATACATATAACAAAAAAATAATAAACGCATACATATAGGACAAATGAGCTCATTTTCATGAATACCAATTTCTCCATTATTATGAATTTGAGTTGTGGCATTGCTATTTATCTGTTGACTAGATTGTAAAATTTGTCCATTTAAACCTAACACTGCAGTTTGTTCACTTATTCCTTTTAATTCCATTACCTGCATATCATTTAGAATTTATGTATTATTAAAATGTAAATTTATTAATAAAATAATTAAAATAACTAATTAATTGCACTTTTAATTAATTATTTGTAAGTATAATAATTATTTATAATTACTACCTGTGCTTTCATTAGGTCAGTATAACTTTCTGTTGAAATTACTGATTCAATAGTTTGATAAACTGCTGATGAGTTTGGATGTACAGTTTCTAAACATAAGTTTCCTGTATTCGTTTGTAAATTTTCTATTTGTTTTTTCTGTAACATATTAACAACTGCAGTAAGATCCTTCTTCTGCTGTTCTTTACAAACTTGACTTCTTAAAATTCTATCGTTTCCACAAGGTTCTTCGAAATGTTTCTCTGATTCTGATATATTCAATTTACTTGTAGATATCTGTAACAAATAAAAACTATATTATATTATATACAGACATTTATTTACATTTATAATATAAACATATGTGTGTGTGTGTGTGTGCGTGTATATAAAATTGTAATAGTAATTCAAATTATACAATTATATATTATATATTCAATACATTCAAATTATATATTGTACATAATTTTTGTCTTATGACAAAATCAAAGTTATATATATCTTTTTAATACAAAAATATTATTCATAAACCACTTAAATACATTCATAATGTATTTATTCATAATTAATTTGTATATTTGTAATATTTTACAGAAACTATATTAAATGAGATACTGTACCAATATTATTAGGGTTTTCAAAGCTAACTGATGACAACAAAATATTACAATGATAAAAAAAAATGAAATTTCTTTTATACTATCCTTAATCTTTAGATAAGCATAATTTAACTCTACTATACATTTAATTTTTCTATTATTTGACATTATTTTATAATTTCAAATTTTAAATTAATTTAATTTTCAAAACATTATATAATTTTGAGAGAAAATAATATTTTGAATTATTTGAATATCTCTTTATCTACTTTGTATTGAATAGTGTAACTTAAATTTCAATTATATATTATTAAAAGTTATGCAAATAACTTTTAATTATGATATATAATTACTTTTTAATAGACTTTTAGTAATCTTATCTCTATATAAATAATATAATAAAATAGGACATACTATATCGTTATTGTTGGAAGAGTTCCTAGCAAACGTAATATCAAATTTTTCTTTGCAATAGACACGTTTATGGGAAATAAAATTAACCAAACTTCTAAAAAGGCTTCGACATATGCGACATTCATATACCAAATCACATTCATATGCCAGAATAGATCTAACTTCATCACTGCCATTTTCTAAAACTTTGCTCACACGATATAAGGTCGAAACACTTGTGTCTATTGGTGGATGTAGTTGTGATAAATCTGGATCTATAGATGTAATTTCTTTCGAAGGAAATTTAACTTTTCTAAATTTTCCATTTGGTTTTCTAGCTCTTGCCTTTGCTTTCATTGATTTCATTTTGTATCAACGTTGTACATCCAATGTATTAACTTGTTAAAACTGCAAAGAACGGTACATTATAAAATTATGTAAGTTCAATATTGACAAATTCATTAGACAGAAAGTAATATATGAAATTCAAATTATACATATTAATTATCACAATTTATTATAAATAGAGAAAAGTTAGATATTTTAAGGAAGAAACAAATTAAGATAAATATAATCGCAAAATTGAAGATACTATTTTAAAAAATGAAAGAATTATATATAAAAATTATATTTTAAAAATAATAATTATTTTTTGTTAACAAATAGAATACTTAAAGACTGAATGAAAGTTTTAGATTTAGAAGTGTATTGAGAAAAGCATACAATAGAAATGTACTGTCTCTCCTGCATTTTTCTGCTTAAGAATTGGTTTTCACTTTTTAGATTTTGGATTTATGAAGAAAATAAAATATCAGGAATCAAGAAAATATATTAGAAATTTGTTATTCCACGAAAAAATTACGCGATTTAACTATTCTTAAATGACATGGATTCACGATTTCGATCGAGCTACGACCTCCATTTTTCCGAAACTTCGAAGTTCTTGATTCTACCGCTCTGATGAAACGGTACCGGGCAGCACTTTCACTTCAAGGATAAACATTTTTACTTGTTATTCAATATTTCTTATACGTTAAACACTTCACAATAATAAATTATGCGATTCATTTATGTACAAAGATATGAATTTATAAAATAAGGAATAAGTTACGATTATTATGTTATGTTGTTTTTAAATCTGTTATAGGAGGTTATGTTACATGAATTTCTAAAATGTAACAAAATTTTAAAATGAAGCTCTTTATTATTATATAAGAGTCAAAATAAAAGTAACAACCATGACAACAATTATAATAAATACTCTATAATAACATAATGTGTGATGTGGAAATAACAAAAAAACAGATTAATGTTATAATATTTCAAAGAAATAATTTATATTTCACTACATTTCTAAAATATATGAATGTTAAAATTTATTACATTGACAATTTGTAAATGCATTATCCAATGTATATAATTTCCATAGCGTATTAGTTACTTTAATAATAATATGTAACTATTATTGTTTTAAATATATTATCCTATCTAAAGTAACTATTTCTAGACAAAATTACTTTTATTACAATTTGATCTTATTTTATTATAATTTGACTGTATTAACAATACAGTCAATTATTACTAAATGCCTTTAAAATTAGTACAATAAATATAACAATAAGTAAAAAATACTATAAAGATTTTAATAATTTCCTTTAAAATTACTAGTACATTATATTTTCAATTTTTTTTAAAACTACATTTTCAAAATTGTTAATTACAGAAAAGGAAAACTTATTATAATTTATTTTTAAATTATTGTTTATATTTTTAAATGAACTACATATAGTTAACAATATAAAAAGATAAATTAAATAAGCATTTCTCTCTCCCTCTCTCTCTCTCTCTCTATATATATATATAAAAAGCTAATAATAATTACCATTTAAAATAATCCATTATTTATTGATTTTAATAAAAAGTTATTAATGTGAAATATATTGTATCAAGCAAACTTGGCAAACAGAAACATTTTACCTTTTTTTACATATTTTCTTGCAATATTAAGATAACCATACTAAACATAATTATATTTTTCAGTATTATGTTTAATTAATAAAAAGATTAGATTCATTAAAGTTATTTTGAAATTCATATACAGTTACAAAAAAAAAATTACAAAATTAAAAAGATATATTCAGCAAAAAATACTTATATTAATGGCTGAAAAAGAAATTAAATATTATTATATATCTGTACACGAATCATAAAACCATGTATAGGTATTGCAATTCTTTATCAATATATAGATATAATGAGACATAAAATCTTTATGAAAGACATTGTAAGCAATAATTTATATGTGTAGATTCGGTTTTATTTTCTAAATGGAAAGATTCATTTTTAAGCAATCAAACTAATTTAAATAACAAATCTAAATTTCAATTTTGGTGATGTATAAGGAAATATGATAGAAGTTATAATGTAGAATCTATAAGAAAAGAGATATCTCTATGTGGTTTTAAATATTTATTTCTATTTTTATAATTAGTTGTTGCAGTGTTAGATTTAAGAAAATAAAAAATTAATTTCTTGTAAATTTATCAAAAATTGGTAATAAAGAATCATAATTACAAACATGACATATACAAAATATATTATCTTATATAATAAAAGTATGTACTGCATACTACTTCTAATAAGTTTTTAACTGTCTTCTTTAATTATGATAAAAAACTCACAAGATAATTCTTAACTCAAGAAACTTAAGTGTATGAGTGAAATAAGAACTATATTAGAAATAAACTAAATATCAGTTATGTTTATGAAATGATATGTTATTTATTCTTGATAAAATTGACAAAAAATAAGTTTAGAATTTTATTGTGAATATTAATACATTGACTATATATACATATGTATATATCTGAAGAGAATAGAGACATATCTGTTCAAGTTCAGGTTTAACTGATAAACATAAATATTTGAAAATATTGTTTTAAAAATAAGTTTCATTGAATTAAAATATGAATTTTATAAACAATTAATAAATACAAAATTAATATTAATGTTAACATATTTCACGTATTGTTAAAAATATTTTTATGTTAATCATTTTTTTATTTGAGAAATTTCATGTAATATTTTACAAGTATAACTTTCTGTATTAATATATGTATATAATTATTTAGGTATATTTGTATTATGTATAAGATTCTTTTATTTCGACATTATTTAATTATAGGTTATACATTTCTTGCAAATATCATTTTCACAAAGAAATTGTCAAATGTTATTAATTTTTAGTTTATAAATTTGTTTCAGATTAGACTTTATAATTACTTAAAATATTATTTATGAAATTTTATTTTTATAGAATATTCTATTATTCATATTAAGATATTGCAAATAAATAAAACCCACTTGTTTAATAAACTATATAAAGTCATAAAAGGTTTATTGTGCCGTCACGCATGCGCCATAATTTGGTATCGTTTTTCGTGAAATCGTTCGAAAGAATCTGTTCTTCATATTTTTTGCCTTCATATATAATCTTATTTGTAATTGCTTTTCGGAATAATAAGAAACATTACGAACAAAAAGATGGCGTTAAATGATTGTCCGGAGTCAGAAGTAATTGGTTGTGGATTTAGTGCTTTCAAAGAAATTGATGAAGTGACTTTTCTAATTAATGAATTAAAAAAAAATGATCTTTCTCCGAGCCTTATTGAGAAAAATCGTGATCGATTTAATTTTATTCTATCACAATATCAGGATCAAAGACAACTGCTTGATCCTTATTTGGATGATATTTTACAACCATTAATTAGTATCACAGAAGATCCAAATTCTACAGAAATTATGCGGCATAATGCTTTTAAATATATTTTTATTGTTATGTCCGTCAAAACATACAAAAAGATTGTTACATATCTTCCACATGAGGTATATAAATACTTTAATATTACAAAGTTTTTTTATATTTCAATTCTTAAATATATCATTTAATTTAATATAGGTAGGTGATCTTCTTCCTGTGTTGCGAATGTTAGAGAAACAAGATCCAAATGATGTAGAGACATGGGAAACTCGATATGTACTTCTAATTTGGCTTTCTATAATTTTAAAAATACCATTTCCACTTACACGTTTAGAAATTTTGGATGATATTTCTGAACCATTAATAATAGATAGAATTTTAAAAATATGCAAATTATTTTGTTTATCAAAGGATGCTTGTGCTGTAGCTGCAGTTTTTTTAATTGTTAATTTTTTGACAAGATCAGATGTCAAAGTACTATATTTGAGAGAAATGATAATGTGGAGCTTACAATGTGCAGAAAATGATCCTTTAAGACATGGCCCTTTAGCAGTCATAGCAGCAATATTAAAACATAGTGCAAGAGAAGATGTTAAACCGTACACTCAAACAATTTTAAATAAAGTTTTACAGTTCCATCTGAATGATAATCCTGCCGATCTTATTCGGAAATACGGAATAAAAATTGTACAAAGAATTGGATTGGTATTATTAGGAACAAAATTGGCTTCATGGAGATATCAAAGAACTAGTAGACCTATACGTCTGATAGTTAATACCAATACTAATTCTAATACCATGGAAATTATAGAAGATGGTAAAAGTGTTGCATTCAATCATGATGATCAGGATATTCCATCGACAATAGAGGATATAATTGAACAACTTATACAAGGTCTTCGGGACAAAGCAATTACAATACGATGGTCTGCTGCAAAAGGAATTGGTAGAATAACAGCAAGATTACCAATGGAGTTAGCTGATGATGTTGTAGGATTTGTATTAAATCTTTTTTGTGGTCGAGAATCAGATTCTGCTTGGCATGGTGGTTGTTTAGCATTAGCAGAATTAGGAAGACGTGGTCTCCTTCTTCCTCATCGTTTAAATGATGTAATACCAGTAGTTCTTCAAGCTCTTGTATTTGATGAACCAAGAGCTTATGGTTCAATTGGATATTTGATTAGGGATGCTGCATGTTATATTTGTTGGTCATTTCCTAGAGCTTATGATCCTGATATTATTCAGCCATATGTAAAAGAAATTGCAGCTACATTATTGATTGTTACTTGTTTTGACAGAGAAATTAATTGTAGAAGAGCTGCTTCTGCTGCATTTCAAGAAAATGTAGGAAGACAAGGAAATTTTCCACATGGAATAGAAATACTTACAATTGCTGATTATTTTGAAGTTGGTGTTAGAAATCATGCATATTTAAAAATTAGTACACAAATAGCACAATATGAAGAGTATACAAAACCTCTGATTGATCATTTGATTACAAGAAAAGTTACACACTGGGATACAGCAATTAGAGAACTTTCAGCTAAAGCCCTTTTCAATCTAACACCTATTGATTCTAATTATATTAAGAACACAGTTTTATTAAATTTATTAGATATGTTAAATTCTATTGACTTAAATATTAGACATGGATCAGTATTAGCTATTGCTGAAATTTTGGAAGCATTACATAATTGTTGTAGTGAGAAAATTGAAAATATAATTGGATCATCAGCTGCAGAAAATATAAAAAATATAGTAAACACTTTTAGAAAAAGAGGACAATTTAAAGGTTTAGGAGGAGAACTAATGAAACAAGCATGTGCTGTACTCATAAAAAAGTGCTCTATTATTAATTTTCCAATTTCCTTTGAAATTATTAGTAAGTTAATATTCATAACAAATTAATATTGTTATTATAAGTGTAAATAATATAAAAATAGATGTTATCATAAAATTCAATAATTAATATTCTGCTCATAAATCAATCTTAATTATATTTTCATTGTAAAATATTACAAAATTTTAAGTAAATAATTTTTGTAGGTGATTGGCAAAATCTTTTAGAAGAATGTTTGGGGCATGAAGTGTCTATAGTAAAGATGAAAGCTGCTGAAGCACACACCGAATTTTTTCGAAAATATTATACAAACATAGGTAGCCAAGATTGTAATATTGTTATTAATCGTTATCTTGATAATCTACAATCAAATAATCAACTTGTCCGAATAGGTTTTGCACAAGCTATAGGTAAGAATGTTTATAAAAGTTTTCATGTTAAAAAGATATTTTACAATATAATCAGTAATATAGTTAGGTCTATTATTAGGTTCAATGATTATGACATTTAACACAGTGTAGTATTTATAATATACTTAGTGCTTAAATAATACTCAAAAACTTTTCCTATATTGACACTTCTATTTAAATTTAATAATTATCAATAATTATGGATATTTATTAATTAATATTTATTTTTTTAGGTTATTTTCCTCTATTTATAATTTGTGAAAGAGTAAAAGACATAATAGAAGCGCTCATTAAATGTACTGAGATATCAGAAAATACCTTAAAGTGGGCAGAAAGTAGGAAAGAAGCTATACATGCATTAATAATGATTTGTCAAACTTTGGGAGTAAAAGAAGCAGGTTTGTTATTTCTTGAATGAAGGATTTAATTCAATAGAAATTATATTAGAGTAGTAGAAACAGATTTGTCAAAAAAATAACGTTCTTTTTAAAGATATATAACATATATATATATATATATGTTAATTTATTTAATTACTTCTTCTGAATAAATAAAAATATATATAATGTTTATTTTTCATTATAATTACATCACATGATATATATTTAATATTTGTGTAATATTATAATTACTTATATTTGACATAACATATAAAGTACTATAATAATATTCTAATAATATTAACTTATTTGAACTTCATTCAATTTAAAATTATAATTTAAGATTTATTTACTCTAGCAATCATTATAATTTCACAAAATATGATATTGTGGAAAATAATTACGATGTAATATTTTAAATAATATCAAAATTGGAATATACTTTACGAATATTAGCATATTGTATAAATTATAATTTTTAAATATTGTAGAATAAAATTAAATATATTAAGATTTTTATAATTATGGAATGTTAAAAAATGGCCAGATTTTGGATCGCTCCAGAACCTGAGCTATTGATAAGGCATTATTATTTAGATCTTAAAGATGTTTAAATGCACCATTATTTACTCCAAATGTGATGAGAAAGTTATTAAAAAAGCAATTGAAGTAGAAAATACATAAAACGAAGAATTGGAAATTGTTCACTGTAAATATTTTTATATTTTCGCGTTTCGTGCATTTAATTCATTTAAAGAATGGTGAACATTCATACATCTTTGGGATCTAAATAATAATAACTTTTCAATAATTTAAGTACCAGGGTGATGTAAAATTTGATCATTTTTTAACATTTTCCTTTGATGTGATAATTTTTATATGTGTTTAAGTAATATTTTTATACTTTTTAGACATGTGGAGTACATATGTTCATGATTTATATGATTGTTATTTATTGGCATTGAAAGAGTATACTATAGACAGTCGTGGAGATATAGGAGCCTGGGTACGAGAAGCAGCAATGACTGGTTTGCATGTAAAAATATCTTCTTTATCTTATAAATTAAAGTTTAGTAAATTATTTTGATTAAAACACTTTAAATAATTTCAGATGTTAACAAACTTAGTGGCACAAGCAAAATTATTTTCTGTGTTAAATGAAAACTTAATGGCAAATATAATTGGAGGAATTGCTCAACAAGCTGTTGAAAGAATCGATGGAATTCGAGCACAAGCGGGTATTGTTTTCAGTGCACTTATTCATAATGACCCTCCTTTGCCAAACATTCCATATCATGCGGAATTGAAAACTATTTTTCCTCATGATGAATGCAAAGAAAATATAGAATGGAGAATGGAATCAGCTACTTTTCCACGATTTATTAAAATGTTATCTTATCCTCCTTATACAATGAATCTTTTACGAGGAATTATATTTAGTGTTGGTGGTTTAAGTGAATCTTTGGTATGAAAATATGAACAACTGTACTTCATTTTTAATATTCAATCTTCCATACATTTATAATTTTATTATTTCAGGTTAAATATTCTAGTGTTTCCTTATTTTCTTATTTACAAGAAATAGATGAACTGGGTCTACAAAATTTATGTTATAAAATTTTAAATATTTTTGAGGAAAGTTACAAAAACGAAAGAATGATTACATCAATATTAGCTTTTTTAGATCGGTTACTTAGTTCTGGTTGCATTCAGATTGTTCTCGATAATCCTGAGAATGAAATTGCAGAACGAATTTTAATACTACTAAAGCAAGAAATAAAAAATACAAATAATACTAAGTTGTTAATTAGTAGTATAAATGTTTTCTGCCAGCTTTTGCAGGTATTTATTACATTCTAATATTAATATAAAAGATAATATAATGAAATTTATTTTAAGACAATAATAAATTTTGTAGGTACATGGACCAGTTGCAAAAAGAGCATTTTGTCAGTTAAGTATTTTTCTTTGTCATAAATATAAGTGTATACGAAAAGTGGCTGCAACAAGAACATATGAAGCTTTAACTCTCTATGGGGAAGAAATGGATCTTCCAGAACAAGATTTGATTAAAATTCTAATTGAAATAAACATTACTGATTGGGAGCAATCAGTATCTGAACTTCGTCCCATAAGAAATTATCTTTGTGATTTAATGAAAGTACCTGCTCCTGTTTTGCAAAATAAATTTAGAAACTGAGCTTATACTTAAATTCTGCTACACCTTAACTAAATTGGTAAGTAGAGTTCTGAAATAAATTACTTATTTCTTTATGGTATTAATATTTCATCAAGAAAACATTTCATCAAAATTAAAACATCTAAATGTTATGTTTGTGTCTAATGATATAAGATAATATTTGAAATATAATTTCAACAATTTCAAAAGAAGAATATAGTTGATATAACAAAAAAACAAAACAAAACAAAAAAAATTTTTTTTGTAATCTTTTCTCATAAATTTATCAAAGATAGTAATATTTTTTGCATAAAATTATTTCTTTCTTTTATAATACATTTTAATATAACTTTAAACATCAAACAATACCATTAAAATGTTATGTAAATTTATTATTTACATTATTAGATATCTAAAATAATATTTATTCATATGGATATAGTGTCCAAAACAAGTAGTTTCAAATTTTTCTGCATTCATGATTATATCGTATAGGCTGATCCAACTAAAAGGGATCACCTAAATATCATTTTTACTTTTCTCGAGACAAAATTACCATATTGCAAGGGCCAAATTTAACCTTGAAAAGAGTTTTTCCTTAAAATCATTATTATATGAGATTTCAAGATCATTGATATTTTTTAAAATAAAATCCTATATTTCTTTTTTCATATTCTAATAGTACATAAAAAAAAACAATTCAACACTGTTATAAACTATATTGTTACAATTATTCAGTTTCTAAATATTTAAATATCAAATTTTTAATATTTAAATATAATATAGTTTATAAGATTATTGAATTTGTTATTTTTTTTTTATATAGTATAAAAATATGAAGAAAGAAATATAGGATTTCATTTAAAAAAATATCAATGATCTTGAAATCTCATATAAAAATAACTTTGAAAAAAAATTCTTTCCGTGGTTAAATGTGGCCAATGAAATAGCACAACTTTGTTCCGAGAAATTTTTTCATACAGCAATTACTATGAAAGATGTTTAAGTAATTCCTCTTAGTTGGATCACCCTACATTATTTCAGTATAATATTAACTTTAATTCTAATTATTTTATTTGTCATATTATCTACAATGGTAGACTCTCTGCCATAGATTACAATCTACTATTCTAAAAACTATGAATAGTATTATTATCAGTATATTGATACTGTTACAATTTAAAATTGTTATAGTGCAAAAAATATTTTAATTGTCTACAAGATTTTGCTCTGGTTTAAATTAATATGAATGAGTTATACTAGGTAAGTTTATATTGATGTATTATTACAAAACTTTTCTTGCCTTTATTATTATTGTAATCAATATAATTATTTTTGTATATGGAGAGAATGTATATTAATTTTAGTCATTATAGATTTTGTATGATGGTTTGTGGTGTGATACCTGTGATTTACAGGGTGTCTTAGCTAAATCATATCACTTAAAGCCTCGAAGCCATTTCTTTTTGTTTCCTAAATTTCAAGGTCATCGTTATTTGTTTTTTAATATCTCATTTTTTCATTTTCCTTTATAGAACATAAAAGAACAAATTCAACGGCGATAATAAGCATAATATTCCTAATACCCTTTCTTGAAATATCTGCGCGAAGATATTTCTATTTTTCGAAGTATTCACACGACAGGTCGAATTGTATCTGGTACCTGTCTGCCGTAATATTTAGGTGATATGAGTTAGCTGAGATGCTCTGTATATTATAAGTGATTATTGTTATTTCATTTTGTTTCTACCTTTCTTTCATTTTCAGATTTAGCATATTTTTTCGTTTATATTTTGTTTTTGTATTATGGTCATTTGCAGAATTTATATTTATGAGATACAGTATTTGTTTTATTCATTATTGTTTAATATACGTCGTATATTTTATTGCTTATTGTAATATGTATTTGTAGTATGGTGTTTTTTGTTATTTCTGAGTGTTAATAATTTTATTCAATTGAATTCTTTGTGTATATCATACTGATTTTTTGTGCTTATTCATTTCCTATTACATACTAGTATTAGTGTTGTACTTTTGAATACACTACATATTCTATACTATATTCTCTATTCTATGTAAAACCATTATAATTCAATCAATTTCTCTAATTAACTTTTTATTCTTTTTTTTGCTTTTCATTTTAGATTACATTGCTATCAATATATTCTGTAATATCATGCAATAATGCTTTATCTTAAATAAGGATTATTAAAAATTGGAACAAAATAATGTGAATAAAATTGAGCAGACCCTGCTTACAAGTTAAAATAAAGGAAAATTTTATTAATTTATGTTTTTGATTTGATTGTTAAACATTATTATATGTAAAATTAATTTAAAATTAGTCTCTATTCTTTTATCTAACTATTAACTTTTATTTAATTTTATTTAAAATAAATCACATTCTATATTATTACTAGTACAATTTATGTATAATAATATAAATATCATAAATATGATGAAAGTAAAAAATTTTATTAAGGTTGATAAGAAAAATTAATTGAATTACAATACTTTCATGTAGAATAAGTTGAGTTTATCAATTTTATCTTCGATTGTATATTCATTGAATCTCACCGAGGTTTACAGACATTTTTTGTTGAAAAAATTAAAGAAGCAGTTTAATTATAACCTTAATTTAGGAATCTTAGTTAATTTGGGAATCACAATGGATTAAGTAATACTGTTCAACAAATTTTTTTTTTTTTTTTTCATTTTGCTATATTTATTAAATGATCTTTGGAGAATTTTTCATTCTAAATACAAATTCGTAAGCAGAATTGCTCTATCACTCTCTGTTTTGAAAAAATTCAAATTTTTGTAAAAACGTTTAGCAAAAATAAAATATTACATACCAGAAACTGATAACGTTATATAGTTCTAATTAGTTTTAAAAGATAGGGGAGAGATTCTTGAATATACCATTGATCATAACTACAATATTTTATGTTCTGAATGATTATAAATAATCATTATAGTTTAAAAGTGTTGATGTACATTTGTAACTTCTTTCCATTTTTACAAAATTTTGTTTACGTAGTACAAATTTGTTGTACAGTGTCGGATTTTGTAGACATTTCTGATGAAGAAACCATCCAGCAAAAGTATGGAAGTGGTTTTCAAACCATACAAATACAAATCGAAAGAATATTCATCAGCAACAAGTACAGGACGTTTTGTCGCCATGACGCTTATCATCGCTTGTTCATCTCAACTTGGCAGTGGCGTAGCTACGCATTATAGGTGTTGAGATAATGTCATACAAATATTCTCACATATAAAATACGATTGATAGATTTTTTTATACATTTTTTCATTTTTATGTAATATTTTGTTTCTACTTCAATCGGCCTTTTTTGTAAAAATTTAAATTTTTCGAGAATTGTCGATAATAGAGCAACTCTACTTACAAATTCATCTTTAAGACGAGAAAGTCTACAAAGATCAAGTGGGTATTACGAAAAGAATTCGTGTTGGACAGAATGCAAAACTTATGTTATATCATGACACAAATCATTCACAAATTGCTTATTACTTACTTTAGACAATGTGTTATAGTCAACGAATATTATTCAGTAAACAGTAAAATGAATTTAAAAGCATAATTAAAAACATGATCGGTATATATTCTATTAGATCATCTTATAAGTTCATGCCATTTTTTACTCTTTTATTTAAAATTATATATCAGACATACGTTTAAATATTAAGAAAAAATGTTGTTCTTTCATTGTACAACTTCTTCCCATTTCGTTGGCAAAGGCATTATCCTATCGCTAAAAAATTTCTTTAGATTTTGATTAAAGTATCTTTCAAGATTATTTTTTATCATGTCAGTGTTGACATATTCTTTGCTATTTAAAAAATATTGTAGTGCACGAAATAGGTGATAATCCGATGGTGCAATATCCGGAGAATAAGGTGGATGTGTTAGAATTTTCCAATCGATTTCACATAATTTATTTTATGTACCTTTTGCCACATGCGGCTTGGTGTTATCGTGGTGAAAGATCATATTGTCCCATTTTGAATGTTTTGCACGTTTCTCTGCTATATTTTCTTTTAGTTTTTCTAACTGTGTACAGTAAATGTCAGCATTAATGGTCTGATTAATCAGTAATAACTGAAAAAATGAAACTCCATGGTAATCCCACTATGCTGCCATACAGAGAGGAGAACCTTGCGAGGGTTTAAACAGTTTTGTAACTCATTGCGATGGTTCTTCTCTTGCACACGAAATGTTTTGTTTTCTTTAGGGATTAATATATAAAGTCAAGTTTTCGTCCCCAATCACGATGTGTTTCAAAAAACGGTCTATTTGATTGCGTACAAGCAACTTTTGCCGTGTTTCCTTTTTGGAACTCTACATCAGATGCCGAAAATAATTTTGCGTTTCACTCATGATTTTACATGGTGTAGTATATGAAATACTTATAACTCTTTGACTTCTTACTCTCGAAAGTGTTCTTTCGACTGAACAGAACCGTGATACAAAATTATTTTATCTGTTTATCCATATGTTTATTAAATGCAAGGCGAGACAAAACGAGTAACGTTAAGTAATACCGGGCACGAACTTATGGGATGACCTAATAACATTAGATGTGATAAAAAAAAGTATCATAAATATATAGGTTGTTGCACTCTATTCTTTTTATAAAATCATTAAAATTACGTCTTAAATATGTTATATATTATTAGAAATAAAGGAAGACTTAAGTGTTAATTTTAGTAATGTATCCAATATAATTCTAATGTGCAGTATTTTAATAGGATATTTTATACTGTATAAAAATTTTCTATATTTTTCCTTTAAGGTTTCTTTTCTCTTCTAATAATGATTGTAAATTAAGAATTAAAATAGGAATGAGGATTAGAAAATTTTTCATCGTTTTTATAGATATTATTTTTATTGCAAAAATATAGATCATGTATTAAGATTCATATAATAAAAATAAGACTAAAAAATACACAAATATACAACTAATGTTATAATTACATATATATACGGAATAATATATATGTAATATATAGCATTTACACTAATCTGACAAAAAATGTTTGGAATAAAAGTTATGTTCTTTGAAAAAAAACAAATTGCAGTAATAAAAGTTACAACAAATTTTTTTATTCGATAAAATAATAGCACTATGTACTTTTGTCGTTATAGCTTTATAGCTGACGATGAAATGAATTCAACGACCTACTACATAATGACCTTCGAGTGAACTTTAACTTAGAAATTAGCTTAGAAATTCGCAGTAATTGAAAAAATAATTTGAACATTTATTGAAGAAAATTTAACCACTGTGTATTTGTTAAAAAATTGTAACATTGTTATTTTAAGAACAGTTTTCATTTTTGTTTTCGTTTTGTAAAAATGATCACTTTAAGACCATCAACAAACTAAATACAAATGTATTGTTTAGTTTATACCAAACATAGTCTTGTCTTGTTTTGGTTTTGAAGTATTAATACTCGTCCGTCTCTTTCGGTAGTTCGGATTTATCCTAGAATATGTATTAACGTTATTGTAATAAACTAATGTGTACTGTAAATAAGAGATAAAGATGTATGTTTACTGTTTACATTCATTTTCGAAGTGTCCTTGATCTAGAGTTACATATACGTTTTATTAAAAATTATTTTCTTAATTACTGCGAATTTCTAAACTAAAAGTGACTTGAAGGTCATTGTGTAATAGGTCGTTGAATTCATCTCTTTGTCAGCTATAACGTTTTGACATCAAAAGTATATAATGCCATTTAAGAAAGTCAAGGTGACCTGAGTTTTTTATCGAATAAAAAGATTTTTTGAAATTTTTATAATTATAATTTGTTTTCCATAAGGAACACATTAACTTTTATTTCAAATATGTTTTTGTTAGATTAGCGTAAATGCCACAAAAATCGGTGCGCCCGTTACGTTGAACACCATGTAGAAAACAATATCTTATATCATTAAATATACAAATTAACATTCATTTTTATCATATAATTTCATCTTATCTTTTTCAAAATTTTCTATATTAATTGTAAGGTTATTCTGGAGAGAATAACTTAATATTTTTGCTTCACATTTTCCTAAAATCCATTGTTGAGTCCACCAATTAGAATGATCAATTTTATGTGTTAATGGATCTTTTGGTAATGGACAATCATAATGTTTTTTATCAACAATCTTTGTTTTCTCTGTTTTTTGAATGCTTTCACAAACAAAACATTCGAATTCTTCAACATAATTTCCAAATTTATTGGACTCCTTATTTTTATTTAATGCCATTTTTAATCTTTCATTATTTATTTCATATTTATCAATTAATTTATGAGATAAATATTTGTTGTATTCAGTTTCATTATTAGAAAGATTATGTAAAAAGTTTGCTAAATTTATTGGATCTTTGAAATCAAGTATCGAAATAGCAGACATATTGTTTGGAAGCCAATCCTAAAAAAAAATTAAAAGTGTATTACATTAGTTAATCTTAGACAAATATTTATATTTATATATATATATATATATATAAGCTTTCAAACTAAAATTTGCACAAAACAAAGAAAAATATGCAAATACACTCTAAACAAATAATTTATATATTTAATGAAATTAAGGACAAAATAATAAAATGTTTACTTGCATTCTAATTATTAAAAAAATTAAATTAATAGTTTTATCACCTCAATATAAAAAATCAATCTAATATATTAAACAATCAAAATAACAATTATGTTAAAAATTTTAATACTTTAAATGATGGCGATCCATAATATACAGGTATAGATCCAACGACCAAGGGCCTCCACAATTTTTCAGTTATATAATCATCACAGACTGCATTTTCAAAAGCTATTGTAAACTTGTAATTGGCAATAAAAGAAAGAAAATCTCCATTATTCAATATTTCAAGATAATTTTCTTTTAACCTAGATTATAATTACATTCTTTTATAGAAATGTTATAAACAGTAGCATTAATTTTGTTTAAATGTAAAAATATTTCTTACCTTTTATCAAGTTCAGCATTATTTAAACATATACCATATGAATCTATATGTATATACTTCATTAGTTCAGTTACATAAATATCTCTGTTACTTGCAGTATCACAGTCAGATTGTATATAAAGTAATGGTGCTAGATTTTTTGTATGCATTAATCTAGTTTTTTCTTTTGTGGATACAAAATATTTTTTACCTATAATTATCATAAATTATTATAACTTCCTACTATGATTTATTTCTTATTAGATAATATGTATTGAAATAAAATTTTCATTATATACTTCAATGAGGACAAAATAAGTAATTTTAATATATGAAAATAGTTATATTCACTTAATAATTCTGTAATTCCAGGTAGATCTACAAGAGTAAGAGGTACATCACTAAATCTACTGAATGTTGAGGAATATGTAAAAAGATTCAGAGTTTTCTCTTGAACAAAGATTGGATTATTTCTTGGAGATTCTTCGTGAAGTAGACCCCATGGAATCTTATCGGATTTCCATTTTGGTAAATCATTAATTTGAAAGTTGCTACCATAGAAAAGGAAACTCTGAAAGTTAAAAAGAATTTAAGTTTTTAATAGTCATTTCAAATGAATTTAATATCAGGTATAAATAATTTGCACATTTATAACATTGAATTTAATAAACTTCAAAGAATTGATTTTATAATAATAAATTTTATCTTAATTAAAGATAAAATACTAGTTTACGACTATTTTAGTATTTAAGTATATTAATATATATATATATATATATATAAATATATAAGATATTTAGTATTTAAGTTTTAGTATTTAAAAATACTAGTTTACGACTATTTCAATGCTAACAATTTAAACAATTATAAATAGAAAATATAAATAATAATTGAATTTGTAATTATAATCCTGTTTTACATTTTTAAAATAACTGGAAATATTAAACTTATTTTTAATTTAAATTATATATATATATAGTAATATATATATACTTTTATCTGCTTTTCATATTGGGAGGATCTGTTGCTTGTAAAATAACACTGATAATTGCCACAGTTTCGTAATTTATCATCATTTCCAAAGGGTGTCCACCATAAAATTATAGGTGCTTCTGAAAAGATGTGAAAAAGCATATTCAAATATTCTTCTTCTTTTAATACTTCTGTTTGAAAAATATTGAAGAGTCATTTTATATACCTGAATTATATGATTTATTGTTGATTTGAACTAAATACACCTGTTAATAATATTGATTTCAAAAATCAATTGATATCGTACAGTTTAATTAATAATAATTATTAGTATTAAAATAGTTTTTAATAAGCAATTATTTATAGTACAATGCAGTAAAATATTGATTATAAATTTATTAACATAAACTATATTGTATACAATGACATTTCATTATTAATAGTTCTTTATATATTCATTTATTATTTAATAGTAAATACTTATAGTAATAGTATCATTTATAAAATTAAAAAATTCTCGTAAACAATTTACTAATTTTTATTTTATTGTATATTAAAGTAATAGTTTAACTAGGTATTCTAACATTTATAACAAATAAAAATTAATATAATTTTTAATATAATTTATTGTTTTAAACTATTTTTGCAAATTAAATTGTAGTATAACGTTAACACATAAATATGTAATAAATTACTGTGATACATTTTATATTGCAAAATATATAATAATATATACATATTATTAATAATTATATAAATACCTGATAAATTATTATACTTAGAGTTAAAGCTACAATCATTGTGAATATAAAATACATTTTCTGATAAAAGTATAACATTTTATTACTTAATATTATAATTATTATTTAATTTTAATGATATTTATTTTTGTTATATGTATGATTTCTTATTAATTAATTAATTTATTGTATTTCATTTCTATCTTAGATATGTAAGTATTAAAATCCTCCAATTGTCAATTACACATTTTTTATAAAAAATTTTTAAACAAACTCTATATTTTAGTATACTAAATATTTTATTGAAGTGTAATTTGGTATAATGTTTGTTTTTGAATATACATTTATTTCAATTAATAGTATATAATAAATCTTATATTATATTATAGCAACTCAAATTTAATAAAAACTAAATGTTATTTTATTAAAAACATTCAAATTCCATAACTGTAAATATATAAATAGCTTGTATTACACAATGTAAATTTAATCAAATTTGAGGTTAAGTTATAATCATTCCATCATTCCTTTTATAGAGAGCATCGAAGTTCCTTGTGATAAAATATTAATAGTTAATATTTAAAATATACAACATTGTAATTATTTAGAACAATTCAGAATTAAATATGTAGAAATGATCCACAATTAATATTGTTATTATTAAATTGATTATTATTATTTTTAAGTCGTTATTAATAATTTCAGTTATTTAAATATAATATGTAATAATTAAGTATCACAAATTCTGCTATCAGTTAATTACCTTTTACATTTATAATACTATTTAAAATGTTTGTAAAATATATTAGTAGGTTAATAGAAAGTAATAAATTAATAAAAAGACACGCAACTTCTACTAATTCGTATATTTTGAAAATTATTTATTATCGAAACTATGTTGTTATGTAATAAGAGCATTATCAAATTTAATTATAAAAAAAATATTTTTCAAATAATAAAAAATTTTTATATTTTTAACTGAAATCATGTAAAAGTTTTAAACTAGAATAATGAAGTATAATAATAATAATAATAATAGTAAAGCAATATTTATTGAAAATTTTTTTACAAGTTTTTATTGGAAATACACAATGAAATTATTTTACCTTTAAGAAAAATGTCTTTATCAATGCGTACTTTATTCACATACGTCATTTTTGTTAAAAGTAGCTCATATTGTACTTACTGCAGCTTACATAATGTAGTTTACTTTGTTAATAAACCTATTATTTTGTTTGGTACATTTTCGTATTTACCATATTATGATTCATACTATTGATACTATGTATATCATTGTGTTTACTGTATTATTTATTTATTTATTTTAACCTTTATTTTAACCTATTATTATTATATATAAATATAATAAATATTATATATAACTGTAAATAATGTAATATGTACATGTACATCAAAAGTTACTGGACCGATTTTAGTCGTTCTAGTTTCAAATTGCATGAAACTAAAGTTCTTTTAAATGTTCTTTAAATGTGCTTTTCAATCGATTCAAAAATTTCGATTTTATGAAACCTAAATAAATAAAATAAATAGTGTTCCTAACCAACATTAAAAAATAAATATGATTTTTTCAAAAATTATATATAAATTTTCGAAGTCTGAAATAATGTGGTATAAGTAAATTGTATTCAATTGCAAAAAGTATCGTTATAGAATTCAAATTTTTTATTTATTTTAAAGTTATAATTAATACTTTATAACACAGTAACATTTCAAACGTTCGTATGGCACAAAAATATTATGTTCTTATAAAAAAGAAAAAATGGTGTCTAATTAAACGAATAAGATTATCTATTCATTTTCAAATTGTTTATTTAATATAAGTTTATAATAGTAGATGTAGGAATAACATTTTCTTATAATAAAAACAGAATAATAATTATTCAATAATGGAAAAAAAAAAATTGTAAAATAATTGTATTTAATTTTTCATGGGAAAATATCATGTAACTATGTGAAAATTATATTAATAAATAACATAGTTTAAAAATATAATCTTTTTCATTTAAGCTTTTCCATTTTAGATTGCGATTTGATATATACATCAATTAAATTCAATTATAAGTTTGTTTATAAATACAATGAATCTCAATCATCTTGATCTCCTATCTTACTATGAATTTCAATTCTTTTCATTTGATTTGATTTGAAAATTTGTTTTGAAATTAGAAATAGTTTTACAGAAATGTTTTAGACACAATTTACATTTTAATGTGCATTACACATTGAATAATAAATAAAGTTAACAAATTTAAATGTTCCAGAGATCTAAAATTAAAAACAGTCGCATCATTTTCAAAATACTGAATTATTTCTAGATATACATAAATAAATAAAATTCATCATTTGCACTATATTAGTTGCTAAATTTATTATATTACCTAATTATCAAAGTCAAAAATAATAATACTCTACAAATAAAAATTAGTAAGACAGAATTACCTGTAACAGGAAATACAGTCTTTTTATAGGTGAAAAATTTATACAATAAATATAAATTGAAAATGATTTTAAAAATTTTTTATTGTAGTAGACTTTTGCTAACGGTAAGTAACATGTATAAAATATTAATAAATTACAGACATACATCGTTGCAGACTAAAATTTATATACGTATGTATATTCATATATATTATTTATGTAACATGCATGTTACATAAGTGGCATGTAAAGTTTTTGTCATATGTATATGGCAGCATGTACAACTATATATATAGGTCTGCGAATACATACAAAACTTTCTAAGGATTTGTAAAGGCAACTCGGTCATGGTTACGATCACGGTTGCGATCAGGATTACGATCACAGTCACGGTTACAGTCACGCTCCTGACTTCTCTTTGACGGTCAACGAACTCTCTCTTCTCTTTTTCTTTATTCATTCTTCCTTTCTCTCCATCAGTTACAGTTTCCCTAACGACGTTGCTAGATGCATCTAGGCTATCGCAAGACAGATTCTGCTACAATAAATGAACTAGTTATTTAAGAATACTATAAAACTGTTATCTGTTTCTATTAAAAAATATCAAATGTTAGATTCATAAATTCATCTCATTCACATCATATAATTGTTTATAATATGTTAGAAAAAGAGTTATATATATATAACTGTTTATGATATATTATAAAGTTATAATAGTAATATATAAAATGTTATAATATTGATTTATTACAATTGTAACTTAAGTAGTACATCAATTTACTTATGGTTATACATCCTTTTAATATTTTCCATATAAACTTTCATTTATAAATACCAATTAATTTAAATAAATCTTTTTATATTAAATTTTAAAATAAGTACACTTGTGAAATTATAAAAATTAACGATTACGAAGACAAATGAAAATAAATAATTACCATATCGTTGTCTATTAAATATAAAATGCGTGGACTAAAAGTTGAAATTTAATCGTGAATGAAAAAAATTTAGAACTGTTCTGCGTCCGCGATTTGCGAGGAAAATCAAATCAGTGTAAACCTCTCGTTAGATACGCTCCAAAGTTTTAGACTTCCTGAATGAAATAAGATTAAAATCTAAATGTCCAATTGATTTATATAAATTTTTAATAAATAATAATCGAACACCCATGACGGCAAATATTTTACCGTTTAGTTTTTTTTCCAATTCGGATAATATCAAAAATAAATCTTGCCAATATCTGTTAGCCACAATTGATTATTTTATTCATTTATAATATTACAAAAATTAAGTACGACAAAATTAAGTACAACATGTTATTTATATTTCTAATGCGTCTTATTTAATTCGTTATTAATATTGAATTAATCATCAATATCAAACTTACATCTAAAATATTGATAGAATATGTCATTTTTCGTAAATAAATGAAAATGCACTGTTAGAAAAAAGAATTTCGATTATACAGCGAAATACCATTTAAAATTATTTTCTGGGAAGTTGAATTCTGTGAAAGGATACATATACTTCATTGGCTACGCTTGCATTAAATTGACATACTGATTTAAAATTAACTGTATATAGATTTAAAAACATGAAAACATAGATTAAGAAAGACTTGCAAAAAATATTAATTTTATAATTTTTTATTGATATTTTAATTGCTTTAAATTTAATTTCAAACGTATTAAACAAAAGATAATTTATTCGATTTAAAGCAAAGCGTGGACTGATTATTAATTTAAATTGATGAAATTTTAAATAGTCTTTGGCAGAAAGAATAATTATCGTAGAAAGTCTATATCATAAAATAAAGAGGACGAAATAACTGTATATCGTTTAACTGTAAACTGTCTAAGGAATTAAGATTAAATTTTTAATTACATAAATGTGTATTCCTTTTATGATGAAAATATAATAAATATTCGTATCATACATCAATGAATCGGTAAAAGTATATTTATTTTTCACAAAATATTAGGCAAAATCAATAACAACTTATAATTATTTAGAAACATTATCGTATAAAATATCAATCGAAGAGTATCTACAATTTTAACAAAATAATTTATTATTTTTCACTAATAATACGTGAAATTAATTTTATTACAATTTAGAATAATTTTTAGTCAGAAACATGTGATTTATTTACTATAAGTATGAACATCTTAATAAAATATTTTTTTTGCATGCCTTCAATTTATTACCTTTTTATCTTATAACTGTATTATCTATTGCTGTTTAAAATTATTTATAAAAATGATAATAATAATTATTATTTAAATAAGATTTAAATGTTTTATATTAAAATGTTACAATATAATATTTGGTTTGTTAAATTATAATTTCATTAATAAAAATATTGTATTTAATATAAAAATTGTAATAAATTATCTTTTATATAATGATATTTTCATATCTTCTTAAAAAAGAGGCGTAAATTATATTAAAAGAATAATTAAGAGAAATTAATAAATTTAGAGAAGATGAAAAATATGTGAAGTGTCATTAGAAAAACAGCGATCACAAAGATAAGGTCGTCGATCTGCGGTTCACAGTCCTCCGGAAAGTCGACAGTTCGATGTATGCTCATTCCCCACCTTTTCCTCATTCTATATCCTCTATCGTTCACGACCCCCTTATTAAAACGGCGCACGCGCGATATTCTGGTAAAATTTCACAGGGCCGTATGAATGTAAAGATACGCACTATATCACTTATATTTATTGTGTAACCATTTCTTTTAGCACATTGCAATTGCCAAAACTATACTATACTGTATATAAACCAATATTAACACATTACAAAATTTTCATAATAACCGTGATTAATAGATATAATTACAAGAATAAAAAAATAAAAGAATCTTATGATATCTCCAACAATATTGCAGTCTATAGACAGTCCTGATTCTATGGTGGAATCAGATTTTGCGCATGCGTCAGAAGTCCTGAGGGATCCTTAACACAAACTGAGAAGAACAAGCGAGTCAAGTCAGTTGCTGAGTATCTTTGTTGTGACAAATATAATTCGTCGTTCGTGACTTGTACTTCTCTTGCGTATTTTCCTGTATCTATTTTTTGGTGTTTTTTCAAAACTAATACGTATATCGGTCTTCCTATTTGTCCAGTAAGTATACAAATACACTTAGTAACAAATTCACGTTTTATTAAGAGTTTGTATCCTATTATTTTTATTATACGTATATATTCTATATCTATTCATAAAAATTGCAAATTTAAACTATATATGTGTAAAAATATATTGTTATCTATTTATAATTTATTGATTATTATATAAAAGAATTTAGCTTATATAATATTTGTAAATTATATTTTAAATGTAGAATTTGTTCAACTCTTTAAAATAAAATATTCATTTAAAAATTTTTATAAATATCTAAATTAGGTTTTATTTAAAACTCTTTATATTAATATTACTTTATTCCAATTATTTATCGTTTTTATTATTTCATATTCTATGTTTATTAATTTATATCTTTAATGGTTATTATTTGGTATTATTGATTGTCTGTCACTTTAATTTGTTAATTATGATTTAAAAGTAATTTTGTCAAATTCGGTGGATGAAACGCCAGTCATTGACCTGGCTTTCGTATCGTGTTATTGATTTTACATTACACTTTAATTAAGCGATTTTTTAATCAAATATTTTAGCAAAAATACCTATTCCTATTTAAACAAATTTTATTATAAAAATTTAGTGTAATATTAAGATTTACATTTATTAGAATTAAATTATATTGTACAAAGTTATAACAACTAATATTTCATGGTATTTATTGATCTAATATTCGAATAATTTTCTCATTAAATTTTTTAAAATAAATGTTTACATGAATAATAAATTGGCGAAATAAAATTATAAAAAAGTCAAATAATAGCAAAAAATGTCAATACGTATTTAATTATATATTTCATGCTTAAAAAATCTAACCAGTGTAATAATATCTAAGAACTGTCATAACAATCGCATAGCGTTAGAATTTGTAAAAAGTAGAACACACTTTTTCCATGATTTAAAAAAGAAATGTAGATAATTAGTATATTAATAAAATTCGTCTATAGGCGATAAAAGTTAATAAAGGACGAAATAGTCCTGTTAACACTTTCTTATTGAAGTTGGCCCCACCCAGGCGGAAACCACGTAGATATGAGTCACTAAGTTGAGGGTTGAAAATACAATGTATCTTGAAAGAGAAAAAAGTTTCGAGATAAAAGTAACGATATCCAAAGTTAAAGATTGTATTTTACAAATTATCTTTTGAAAAAAATTAAATTTATGTGCTCGTGTAAAACAAGTTTACCGCTACAATAAGAATGGGATGCCGTTATTACACTATTTTTTCAAATACTGCATTTAAATGCGTATATACATAAACAAATTAGGTATTTTGTATACTTTATATATCTTTTAATTTTTATTATGAAAAATTTATAACGCATCTTTTACTTTTTCCTTGATGAACATCTTAATAAAATATTTTTTTTGCATGCCTTCAATTTATTACCTTTTTATCTTATAACTGTATTATCTATTGCTGTTTAAAATTATTTATAAAAATGATAATAATAATTATTATTTAAATAAGATTTAAATGTTTTATATTAAAATGTTACAATATAATATTTGGTTTGTTAAATTATAATTTCATTAATAAAAATATTGTATTTAATATAAAAATTGTAATAAATTATCTTTTATATAATGATATTTTCATATCTTCTTAAAAAAGAGGCGTAAATTATATTAAAAGAATAATTAAGAGAAATTAATAAATTTAGAGAAGATGAAAAATATGTGAAGTGTCATTAGAAAAACAGCGATCACAAAGATAAGGTCGTCGATCTGCGGTTCACAGTCCTCCGGAAAGTCGACAGTTCGATGTATGCTCATTCCCCACCTTTTCCTCATTCTATATCCTCTATCGTTCACGACCCCCTTATTAAAACGGCGCACGCGCGATATTCTGGTAAAATTTCACAGGGCCGTATGAATGTAAAGATACGCACTATATCACTTATATTTATTGTGTAACCATTTCTTTTAGCACATTGCAATTGCCAAAACTATACTATACTGTATATAAACCAATATTAACACATTACAAAATTTTCATAATAACCGTGATTAATAGATATAATTACAAGAATAAAAAAATAAAAGAATCTTATGATATCTCCAACAATATTGCAGTCTATAGACAGTCCTGATTCTATGGTGGAATCAGATTTTGCGCATGCGTCAGAAGTCCTGAGGGATCCTTAACACAAACTGAGAAGAACAAGCGAGTCAAGTCAGTTGCTGAGTATCTTTGTTGTGACAAATATAATTCGTCGTTCGTGACTTGTACTTCTCTTGCGTATTTTCCTGTATCTATTTTTTGGTGTTTTTTCAAAACTAATACGTATATCGGTCTTCCTATTTGTCCAGTAAGTATACAAATACACTTAGTAACAAATTCACGTTTTATTAAGAGTTTGTATCCTATTATTTTTATTATACGTATATATTCTATATCTATTCATAAAAATTGCAAATTTAAACTATATATGTGTAAAAATATATTGTTATCTATTTATAATTTATTGATTATTATATAAAAGAATTTAGCTTATATAATATTTGTAAATTATATTTTAAATGTAGAATTTGTTCAACTCTTTAAAAATATTCATTTAAAATTTTTTAAATATATCTAAATTAGGTTTTATTTAAAACTCTTTATATTAATATTACTTTATTCCAATTATTTATCGTTTTTATTATTTCATATTCTATGTTTATTAATTTATATCTTTAATGGTTATTATTTGGTATTATTGATTGTCTGTCACTTTAATTTGTTAATTATGATTTAAAAGTAATTTTGTCAAATTCGGTGGATGAAACGCCAGTCATTGACCTGGCTTTCGTATCGTGTTATTGATTTTACATTACACTTTAATTAAGCGATTTTTTAATCAAATATTTTAGCAAAAATACCTATTCCTATTTAAACAAATTTTATTATAAAAATTTAGTGTAATATTAAGATTTACATTTATTAGAATTAAATTATATTGTACAAAGTTATAACAACTAATATTTCATGGTATTTATTGATCTAATATTCGAATAATTTTCTCATTAAATTTTTTAAAATAAATGTTTACATGAATAATAAATTGGCGAAATAAAATTATAAAAAAGTCAAATAATAGCAAAAAATGTCAATACGTATTTAATTATATATTTCATGCTTAAAAAATCTAACCAGTGTAATAATATCTAAGAACTGTCATAACAATCGCATAGCGTTAGAATTTGTAAAAAGTAGAACACACTTTTTCCATGATTTAAAAAAGAAATGTAGATAATTAGTATATTAATAAAATTCGTCTATAGGCGATAAAAGTTAATAAAGGACGAAATAGTCCTGTTAACACTTTCTTATTGAAGTTGGCCCCACCCAGGCGGAAACCACGTAGATATGAGTCACTAAGTTGAGGGTTGAAAATACAATGTATCTTGAAAGAGAAAAAAGTTTCGAGATAAAAGTAACGATATCCAAAGTTAAAGATTGTATTTTACAAATTATCTTTTGAAAAAAATTAAATTTATGTGCTCGTGTAAAACAAGTTTACCGCTACAATAAGAATGGGATGCCGTTATTACACTATTTTTTCAAATACTGCATTTAAATGCGTATATACATAAACAAATTAGGTATTTTGTATACTTTATATATCTTTTAATTTTTATTATGAAAAATTTATAACGCATCTTTTACTTTTTCCTTGATTTACAATTTCATGTTTCGCGATTTTTCATTATAAATTATTAATAAGAATATAAATAATTATAATCTTTATAAATTATTGATTATTTTAGTAAATTAAAAGTTTTAAAAATACATAATTTATATTTAGTTGCAGAAACATTTCGAGGAGATTTTACAACACGTGTTATTGAATAACGATTGACTGAAATAAACAATGCAGGCTAACAGTGCTGAAAATGTCGGTTCTGAAAGTACAAATGAAAAATCGGGATGGACGGTAATTATTACCCATTTGGAAATCACGATATATTTTATTTTGAATAAATTAATACTATTACATATTTTTATATGCTATATATTGCCTTAATTTAAAATTATTTAGAAATTATTATAGTATGTGTTTATAAAAAACTATATATGGCTCAAAACTTGTATGAATTATATACTACAAGTTTAAGAAATAATATTTCCTATTTCTTTTAATAATTTAGGTTAATATGTATTGTTTGTTTTAACAAATTAATTTAATATATAAACATTACTGAGCTATATATTATAATTATATTAATTCACTTTAATCAAATAAGATATTTTAAAAATTGAATTTTTAAATATCTATTTAATTTATTGTAGGTTGGATTAATAAATGGAAAATTTAAGTATCTTACAGCTGAAACTTTTGGATTTAAAATTAATGCAAATGGTTCAAGTTTAAAGAAAAAGCAGTTGTGGACTCTAGAAGGTAGTGAACAACAAGTTTATCTTCGATCTCATTTAGATCGGTATTTAGCAGTGGACCAATTTGGAAATGTTACTTGCGAAGCAGAGGATCCTAGTGATCCTGGTTGTGCTTTTCAAATACAGCTAGCTTCTGATGGTATTTAATATATTGATTTAATATAGTATGAATTTATTTTCATCATTAAATTCTGATCATTTAAATTAATTCTTGATTTTTTAGATAAATTACAAATTATTCACTTCTTATATATCAAATATATGAGAAATTTTATTCTGTTAATTGTAAAAAGTTAATATATACTGTAAGTGTAAACTATTTATTAAGTAACTGTTTATTATATTTACAAAGAAAGCTATGTATTTTATCATTATGCTTAATGTTTATAAAAATTGACTCTTGTTTCTATGCAGTTATAAAAAGTAAATTTATTTTCCAAAAAGATGTCTATATTTCTTATGATATTAAAATGTCTTAAAATATTCATATAGATTTGAAACCATTTCATATCAGATATTTCAAAATGATTGTATAATCCTTAAAAATTTGGATTTATTAGTGAGAATAACATAAATGTAAAATTTCAAGTACAAAAATGTATAGATATCGTTTTTGATTATTTTTATATACAGGGTATCCCTCTTAATTTGAACATATAGAATATTTTATTTGCTTTTTATCATAGAACTAAATATCAGAAGAAAGCATTGTTTGCTTTGAAAAAACAAATATCATAATGGACACAAAAAAAGTTGTTCAAGATTGTATTTTAAAAATTTCAAGATCATTAAAGTTTTTTTGAATGAATTCAATAACCTATAACACTTTAATTTCCATGTAGCTTTGAGTATTGAAAGATTTATGAAAATTAAACAATTCTTGTAAATAGTGACATAACAATGATAGAATAATTAATAGAAGAAAATTTATTTCTACAAGTATTCAAAATTTTCATGTTTTGTTACATTAGAAACTGCATGATAATAACTTCGAAAATTATTTTGCTTTTAATGCATGAATATTACAATAAATATGAGGAATTAGAATTTTTTTGCAACATTTTCTTTGCTGACAAAACTACTGTTATCAAGCATGGAGAGCTAAATGCACATAACATACATAATGCACATAATGTATATAATGCACACATTATTACACAGACATGTCACAATATTATAAGTTATTCCATTTAAAAAAAACTTCAATGATTTTGAAATCTGAAAAGATATAACCTTAAACACATTTGTTTGCATCTATTATGATATTTGCCTTTACAAACCAACCAATGTTTTTCTCTGACATTTGGATGTATCATAAAATGCAATTCAAATGTTTAACTGATTGTGAGATGCAATCCTAATTCACGTGATTTATTTGATCAAAATATCTTTAAATATTGAATGAAATATAAATATTTAAATCTTATATATTGTTTATATATTGTTAAATCATCAATTATAGAGAATAATCTACCTCTGCTTATGATACATATTGTCTATAACAAAGATGCAAACATTTCATCTTACAGCAATGTTTCATATAATAGTTTAAGAAAAAAGAAATAGTTACTTACAACTTATTTTATACTACAATTTGTATTATTTTTTATTTTTATCTTCTTCTTTGTATGAAATACTTAACATATTAATATATCAAAATAGTGTGAATAATTAGATTAAATACTTTTGTTATTTACTTTCATATTAAATTATTATTAATTATAAGTTAAATTGTACTAAAACTTAATTTTTTCTTTTTTCAAATCAGGAAGTGGAAGATGGGCTTTAAAGAACATTCAAAGGGGATATTTCCTAGGTTCTAGTTTAGATGAGCTTAAATGTATGGCCAAAGCTCCAAGTGAAGCAGAATACTGGCTAGTACATCTTGCTGCTAGACCTCAAGTAAATAATTTTTTAAATGTTATAAAACAATGAATTAAAAGTTTTACTTATTTTTATTTTACTTATTAATAGATATTTGTATTTATTAATTATTACTACTAATATGCTCTATGTTTGTTTGATTCTAAATTAAATCTAAATTTTTAATTAAAAATTTCATATTTAGTTATGTTATGGTAATTGTAGTTTGTCCAGTATATTATATGTATATTCAAAAGAATACATAATTTTATTTGAAAATATAAAATAGCTTTATATAGATAGGAAAAAAAGAATTTCATGTCTTTTATTACAACTATATTTTTAAATAAATTATTTAAGAAGTCTGTAATAAAAAAATTATTGTTATAAAATGTAATAACTATTATAATATATAACCTTGTTATTTTATATGTATTATTTCAGGTAAATTTAAAATCAGCTGGAAGAAAACGTTTTGCTCATTTAAGTGCAACACAAGATGAAATTCATGTGGATGCACCAGTTCCCTGGGGAGAAGATACACTTTTTACTTTAGAATTTCGTCCTTCTTCAGTAGAAGATGATGGACAAGAGCATTCAAAATTTGATGGTGGTCACTATGCTTTACATACTTGCAATAATAAGTATTTGGCACGTGATGGAAAACTTTTGGATTCTTGTACAAGAGATTGTCTTTATGCTGCTGAATTTCATGCCGGATTACTTGCACTCAGGTTAGAATTATTAATAAATGTTATAATATAATATGTCATAAATGTTAGTGAAAAATATTTTATTATAATTATAAATCAGTATGGATGCATGACAGATTACTTCAATTATATGTATTATAGTTAATTTATAAACAAAATGTATTAATATAATTTAATAATATCTACATTATCTTTAACTATATTTATTAATTCTTATAGTTCAAATTTATTTATATTTGAACTTATCAAAATTCCAATTACAAATCTTCATGTATGATATATCTTTATACTTTAAATGATCTTGTAGTTGTTTTGAAGTATATAATTAGCATAAACATGTAAATGTTAATTAAAGAGATTTATATGGAGCATATCTCGCACCTATTGGAAGCAAGGCTGTTTTGAAGTCAAGATCAACAACTGTAACCCGTGATGAATTATTCTCTTTAGAAGAATCATTACCACAAGCTTCCTTTGTTGCTGCTTTAAATCATCGATATGTATCAGTGAAACAAGGTAATTATTATTTACATTTCAATTATCTTTGTTTTTAAATCCTAAAACATTAACACTTTCTTATAATATGTAATTGAAAATATTTTAAATCGCTATTATTAGATTAAGCAGATTTATCTTTTAATTGTTAATTTCAGTTTATTAAATTTTAAGTAATTCATAAAGTAATTTTAATAGTTTGCTCAAAGGAAAATTGCATCCATTGTAATTTCAGGAGTTGATGTAACTGCTAATCAAGATGAAATTTCTGGACATGAAACCTTTCAACTAGAATTTGATCGTGTAACTAAAAGATGGTATGTGCGTACTATGCAAGATCGTTACTGGAGTCTTGAAGCAGGAGGAGGAATTCAGGCATCAGAGCACAAACGCTCTTCTAATGCTTTATTTGATTTGATTTGGCAATCGGAAGATGGCACAGTAGCTTTACGTGCTAACAATGGCAAATTTGTAGCAACAAAACGTTCTGGTCACCTTTATGCTAATGCAGATTCTGTAAATGGATTGGATTCAGATGCTAGCAAATATTATTTCTACTTGATGAACAGACCTGTTTTAGTACTACGTTGTGAACAAGGATTTGTAGGACCTAAAAGCGCAACTAGTTTAAAATTAGAATGCAATAAAGCTATTTATGAGACTATCAGAGTAGAAAGATTTGAACGTGGAATTATAAGATTTAAAGGTAAAACTTACTTGATAATATGAAAACTAAAAATTATATATTAATTATCATAGTATGTTAAATAATTTTGATTTATTGAAAATTTTCTTTTATTATAAAAGATTAAGAATGCTTCATTTAGTAGTATTTTAATAAATTTATTTTAAATTCAAATTGAATTTTCAAAAAATTAATTGACTTAAAAAGTATATTTTTAGTGAAAATAAATTTGTTTCAGGCCAAAATGGTAAGTATTGGCTTGCAGATAGCGAAGGAGTAACCGTAGATTCCGATATACCTTACGATGGCCTGTACCTGCAATTGCGAGAACCTTCTCGTATTTGTATTAAACATACCGATGGAAGATATCTTACTGCAGGAAAAAATGGAGCATTGCATCTTGGAGATACAGATTATGAATCTGCTACAAAATGGGAATTTTAATTAACCAAATGATCATGTTTAAGCTATGTTCTTTTAAAATTTTGTCCAATCAATTAAATTTTTATACTTTAAAACAATTTATATGTAATAAATATAACTATTCGAATTTAGTAAAAAAAAAGATTACGAAAAAAATAAACATTTCAATTGGGTAATTTGTTACACTATTTAATAACTTTTATATTTTATGCTCTAATATTTTAACCTAAGAAATGAAAAAGGTAAAAATGAAATGACAAAATATACAAATATTGGATTCAATTTTTAAAGAAACATAGCTAAAATTTATTGCCCTTTTTATAGCTTCGAGTGTAATCTAATATGATATTTACAAGTACGGAAAGAGCTCCTACCGAGTACTTAATTAGAAGTACATCGTCGAATTAATTTTTTACAATTTTTTTTATACTAATAACTATAACTTTCTCTACTCATAAAATACTGTGTAAGACTAATAATTCACATGTTTACAGAATAATTAGCGATTATTACATCGTACTTTAATAATTTAGAAAAGAATCTAATACACTTTATTATTTGTTCGTCATAGAATAACTAAATAATATTTGGTTATATAAATTAAACTTTACCTTTTTTAATTTAATGTGTTATTTGAAATATTATTTATTTTTCAATATGTAATACTTAACTGATCGGTAACTTTGCATCAGAATATTAATTATGTGTTTCTTAAATTTTGATATTATTATGTATATTAACAAAACTTTTTAAATTTTTCATTATTTTTTAATTAAAACTTAAGTAACCACCTATTTCATTGTTAATGTTATAAATATATTTTTAGTGTTCTTCAACACTACAAATTTTTTCTTTTTATAAATGGTAGTTTTATAATAATTTAATTAGTGAAAGTAGTGAATAATGAAAAGTACTTTGTTAATTATTTATATTAAAAAAATATAACAAAATAAAAAATACTAAGAACTTGACCGATCATTTAAGTGTTCAAAAAAATTTTGCTTTCTAGTCTTCATATTAATATATTAATATCCATACTAATGTTAAACTCCTATAAAGCAATTCAAACACTAGACAGCACATTTCGAGATATGTCAACAAGTAAGGTACATAAGTGTTTCGGTTGATGAAAATAATCATTCCATATGATAAATATATTTTCTTTTCATAACTCAACCATACGCTACTAACATAAACGCACAAATATGTCATTAGTGTAAACTTGCTATCTAGTGTACATGTCTAGAAACATCGATGCAATAATCGAATTAATCTGTATAATTTGAAATCACGCTTTTTCTACATAAGAAATTCACATTCCGTAAGCTGCAACCAGCAATAGTCGAAACATTTTTATATCTAATTCTACAAACAATAATGACGATACTATGTCATAGCCCGCTTAGGAAACATTAAAACATTATCAATTAGTACTAATTTTGTGGGCGTGTAATTTATCGATTAGCTTATAAGTCAAATTTTTCTTTTCTTTGTCGAATTTCAATATTTTTGGAACATATTGATATTTTGATTCGACAAAAAAGAAAAATTATTTTTTGATGTGCTTTTTATCTTTTATATGATAATTTTTTATCTGCTCTCTATTTTTTATATATAAACAAGATTGATATTAAGGTCGTTATCTCGACGAAACTATCTGTAATTTACGTTATTTATCATACTGAGGAAAGCGGGATAAACTAAATGCATTATGTAAGCAATAAATTCTGCTATTAAACATTTGTTTATTAAAATTTTTCTAACATTACCATTTTTCCAAAGTTATAACAAAAAGTTTTTTTTTATTTGAATATATTTATATGAATTATATAAATAAGAAAAGGATTAATTTTGAGTTATAAAGACTATAACTTATTTGATTTAAGAGAAATAAAATATAGAGTCATTAATAATAAATATTAAAATAAAGTTTTGTATATTTAATCGTTCATTACTTTATTATATTCATTAAACATTACTTTTAAACATGGATTTAATAGAGGTAATAATTGTAAATTCGACAATGTAAGTTCCATAAAATCATAAGCAACTCCAACAGCTGTTTCGTTTTCCGGAATAGAAGGAATTTTCGCATAACGCTGACTAAAATGTGTTAATAAAATAAATTTTGCATTCATTAGTTTTCCAGCTTTTATTGCTCCCGAAGTTGTTGAATGAAATTTTCGATTTGCTAAGTCTTCAAGACCATTTTCCATGGTTGCTTCGTGAATTAATAAATCACAATTTTGTCCTAATTGTATAAGATTTTTACTAAATACAGTATCACCACTAAAATAAAACACAGTTTTGTTCGTGAAGTTGTTAACACATACAATTAACTGATTCTTCATGTTATATATTTCAGTCATCTTACCTATAAACAATTTTTTTGTTATCTTTAAGAGTAATAGCAATACCATATGATTGGTTACAGTGCTTAACAAATATTGTATTTATTTCTTTAATATCCAATTTATGGTAAAGTTCAATTTCAGATATTAAAGAAAATGTATGATAGTTTTGATAGAAAGAATTATTGTCCACTATGGTATATTGTTCTGTGATAGATTCAAACCGATCATTGTAGAAATTGAACCATGGCATTATACATTTTGGTGTTAATAAGTACAATACTTCATCTGTGACCATTTTTCTTTTTAGTAACAAACCAATAAGACCTAGATGATGATCTGCATGTATGTGTGATATATAAATAGCCTAAAAAGAGAATTAATTTTTTATTTTTATATTAAAAAATAATGATAGAAACGAAAAAGAAATATTTAATTTTCCTTTTAAAATATAAATAATATACCTTAATAGTACATAATATGTTGATACCTTCTGAAATTCCATAAAATCTAATAATTTGACTAAGGGTACCTTCTCCGCAATCCAATAGAATACTAGTATCTTTATTAACTCTTACAAGAATACCACTAGTATTTCTAACTTTATTTGGTACACTACAACCAGTACCTAACATCACAATTCGAGGATAATCTAGATTATTACTCAAATTAAGTTCTCTTGATTTTTCTTCAATATTTGTTTTTAATTCTTTTAAAACGTCCGGAAAGGTGGGAATTTTTAAAATTTCATCAATATATATTTGTGGTTTATTATAAAATCTATCATATATTAAATGACTTGTTGTTGGACGTATGCATAGTACTTGTCCTCCTCTAGCACGGTGGATAGCATCATTGTTAGTCTAAAATAAAAAGTTTTTCAGCTATTTAGGTTCATAATATTTTTTATATACTATTCTTTAAGCTATTAAATATATGTTATATCTTTAAGTACTTTTGTTATTATTTTTTTCTATAAATATTTTACCTCTTTATCCTTTTGAAAATTATCTACTTTCAGTAAAGGAAATAATTCAGAATGTAACATGTTTAACAGATATTGATTCTTATAAACAGCTTCACTACCCATACAAGTATTTTCATCATTTAATATTATATGTTGAGTGTTTGACCCAAATGCATTTAACCAATCTTGATAACGTTGTTCAGTAAATACTTTTTCAGGAGTAAAATGAAATATACAAAATACATCTTCTTTCATTAATTCTTTCCGCTGATACATTAAAAGGGTAGGATCATTTACAAGAGAATCTAAATATTCTCGTGTAGGACATTCTACAACTAAAAAACGTCTTTAATAATAATAATAAAAATTTTAGTATTAGAAAAGCTTATATATTATAATCTCTTTTATAATATACAATAAATATGTTAAGTCTTAAAAATCTTAGAAATTTTAGTTATCTTTCTTTTCTACAAAATGAATTTTATTTTTCTTCTTGATAAAGTCTATAAATTATTAAAAATAAATTCAATAAATAAAAACGTGCAATCAAAATCATTTAATAGTTTGATATCTATAAAATGATATTTAAACTGAAAATGTTTTAAACATACAATTAATTTTTAAGAATACCTATAAAGGTGGTTATGGGTTTTTCTGGATCTACTACATCTTTACTATAAACAATTGTTCCATCTTCTTTAGTTACATCTTGTCCAGATTTTAATTTATGCAAAAGTGGTCCAGGTGGTATACCAAAATCTATACACTTGTCTATCAATAATTTTCCTTGTTTCGGATGAATATCACAAATATAACATATTACACGTGGATTGATTTTTATTTTTTTTCCTCCTTGCATGTTTTCTTCTTCTTTGTTATCAATAACTCTTTTACCATTTACATTTATATAATTTGTATCTACTAAATTTGAAGAACTGTCTTTAATATCTTCTGCAGATTTTACTATAGGAACATATGTAACTTGCATTACTTTATTCCTATATGTCTTAAATTCAGTAATAGAATTAAAATTGATTTTTAGATCTGGTAAGTTTATAAATAATTTTGTTGTTTTCACAAAACTATCAAGTCCCACAGGACCATGAATATTTATTTCTGTTAAACCACCAGCTTGTGCTGTTAAAAGCATGCCTGGAAGACCTCCAACATTTCTCCAAGAAGAGCTTGTTATAAAAATATGATGTAATTTAGATATTTTACATTGATGTTCTTGACTTAAACGTTGAATACTTTCTCCACAATTAAATAAATGATTAATGTGATCAGTTAGAAGGTATATAGCAGATGGAGTTCCAAGTGCACCACTTCCTACTACCTATTTTAAAATATTAAACTTTAGTAAAATCATTAATGATATCATAAAACTAACTATATCATTTATATGTATAACATTTACTTGTTTTATCTATAACTTCTTTGTTTTAATATACCTTTAATTTTGATTGAAAGTTTATCTGGGATTTGATCACCTGTTTCCTTTGTTTCATTAATGCCATTGTTCGTTGATTAATATAACATGGATACTTGATACTTGAATACATATTTGTTCTCATGAATATGAATAGTAACGTACATAAAATAATACATAATTAAAAAGAAAAAAACATTACTTAAATTAAGTTTACACTTTACTAACACTATTTGAAATAAAATAAAATTGTATCAATATTTCCAAATAATATTTTTATTAATAATTTCATTAGAAAATATAAGAAATTTTTATTATAACCTCATTATTTACAAATTACAAAATCGCATTAATATGAATTCATAAATATTTATCAATAATTACAAAATTATTTATAGATATACCAAGAATTGAAAACTAAAATAAAAATTTTATCATATAACTACATTTTATGATGTTATTCATCATATGCAACATACGTAGTTACACGTGCACTGATTATAGTATCTCGCAGATAAAAAAGTATTACCAACCACGATTTTAGAATTTATTTTTAAATCGAACTACTTGTCTAGAATATTAAATCAAATAATTTTAATTTCTTTATAGATTAACTAATTTTATATTTAGTTGTAGCAAACACGTTTTGGTTTGTAAATTGCTACAAAAATTGAAATG